TCAGTGGAGAGGGGGGGGGGGGTTAGGGTCCGGATGAAGATGCTCCTACGGTATGTAAGTAGGACGTGTAATCGTCCCGCCAGGCCAGGCCAGGCCCCGCTGCTGAGGGGTCAGGCCGTTGTCCCCGCCGCCGCTCTGGACGGCGCGCCCGGCCGGGCCCGACCCGAGCTCGTTTCGGACAACGCAAACGGCCAAGCCCAATAACACCATATGTCCCGGCGCTGCTGCTGTCCTCTCCTGCTGCTCATCAGAGACGCCCCTGAGAGGAAAAATGCGGGGTGGGAGAGGGGGGGTGGCAAGTCCGCACCCCGTTGCCCTGTTCCAGATACATCGGACGTGGTTCATCGCTGTGTTCGCAGCCAGTCGGTGGCGCCCGTCCGTCGAGTTATTTCGGCTCGCTCGGCCTGGCGTGGTGGATGTTATCCCAATAAATACACTCATTTGCTTCGCGCTTCGCACGAGGAAACAGGCTCGACTCTTGTGCGCCCTACTCGGCCCTGCGGCTGGCCGGGGAGGGCCCTCCTCCCGGGTGCTTCGTCTCAATAAACCGCATCCGCGCTGCCCTGCGCACCGTCAGCTCTAGACGGGATGTGTGCGCGCACGCGTGTGTGGAGAGAGAGGGCTTCATGGCCGCCTTGTCCTACCCCTCTCCCCCTCTCTCGGCGCGTTCGGAGGAAAATGCTTTGGTCGCGATACTTTTCGCACGCCTAGAGGAGAGACCTCATGGGCGGCTGACAACATTGTGCGTATGGGGCTTTACTGGAACAGCGGAAAGGGATATGTCGGGCGTGCGTGCGTGTTCGCGTGTGTGTCGTGTGTGTGCGTGTCAGTGTGTCCGTGTGTGTTCGTGCGTGTCAGTGTGTCCGTGTGTGTTCGCGTGTGTGTATGTGTGTGCGTGCTTGTGCGTGCGCGCCCCCAGGTCAGGTGATTCCCCAACCCTTTCTACCTAGAAGCAGCAGATAACTGTTGGCGTAGGTCACGCCCCGGGATGCGCACTACGCACTTACTTATCTCCTCGCTTGCCTCCGTCTCCAGGATTAGTTAACACACACACACACACACACAGTCACAAACGGCCTCTCTGCTGACATAGTGCGAGGCAGCTTGTGCGTCGCAACACCCGTCACTCCAGGGCATTCACCCCCCCCCCCATACACACACACTTTTCCACCTCTTCTTTGGCAGTAAAACACTCTCGCCCAAACTGCCTGCAGGTTAAATTGTGGAAATGTGCGGTTTGTTAATTTGGCCACCACGAACACCAATATGAATGAATCTGCCCACAATGGTCCAAGGCTCTTTATGGGCTTTTCGTGTAATAAATAACATGAGAAAGTAATGAATGATAAAGTTAGAGGCACACCCGGAAAAGCCTTGTCTTGAAACAAGAAAATATACTTGTCTCAATGCAATGTTCTTATAGTCCGCAAGAACATTTCGTTGGGGCAAGTAAACTTGAGTTACCACCAGAACATGTTCTTGTTACAAGAACGGGCTTTTCGGGGTGAGTCTACCTGGCGCCGTATAGTCCACCCAGGTGCACTTGCAGACCTGTCGGTAGCCCACCTTGGCCAGGGTGGCCTCCGAAGCCGGGTTGGGGGTGACTATGTTGGCGTGCGAGTCAAACCCGGTCTGGGTGGCCGCCGCCCTGCACGCGGCCCGGGTCACCAGCTCGCCGAGCCCGCGCCGCCGGTGCGAGTCCATGGTGTGCAGGATGGCCAGCCCGCCGAACCAGGCGCCCATGACGAAGGCGACCGGGTCGCCCTGGGGGTCCTCCTCGGTGAACACGCCCCACGACATGCCGGGGCTCCTCTCGATGGTGATGGCAATCATCCTCTCGGACCCCGTGGTCCGGTAGGCCCAGTGGTCGTTGACGCGCTTGGCATGGCGAGGCTCCAGGGGGCGCAGCGCCAGCCCGGGGCCGGGGTCTCTGCAGGCACCGGGGGCATGGACATGAAGCGTCTGGCGATGGTGCACGGCATAGGGGGCAGGCAAGGGGGGCACCCACCTCACTTCCAGCCGCAGGCACTCGTCCCTAGGCAGCAGCATCTTGTCCGTCTTGAGCAGGGCGGGCCTGGGGTCCCCGTGGGCCCGTATCGCCGCCAGCAGGTCCGGCAAGCACCGCTCGTGCACGGACTCGAAGCGGATCGACTCGTCCCACGGGATGTGCTCCGAGTCGGCCAGCACGCGGCGCAGCGCGGCGCAGGAGGCGTCAGTGGTGTGCAGCGACACGTTGGGCTCGGGCATGCCCTCCTGCAGATCGCGGGGCAAGCAATACAATACTTTCAAAATGTTTCAACTTCGTCGCTTATGGGGCTGCCCGAGTACAGTGCGCAACGCAGGATGTGTCCTCGTGTCAGCACCACACGTGCATGGCGTCCTACGTACCACCCTCATGACGGCGACTGCGGTCGTGTGGCCGTCCGTGGCGTCGCCCTCGTCGACGCCCCGGTAAAAGGAGACTTGCACGTCGCCGTCGTCGAGACCCTGACGGCGCCAGCGGAGCGCTGTTGCGATCCGGGTGAAGATCTGCGGGACGATTTCTCAACTAAAGCGTTGACCATTTTCGCGGGCACGCGACCAATCGAAATTATCTACTCACATGGATAGAGTCTGGCAGGTCCTTCCTCAGGGCCTCCAGGAGGCACTCAACATCCCTGTTGTCCACGAGCTCGCGTAGAGGTTCTGCGGCCATCGCTACTGCCTGGTTCTGTGTATCTGACACCCAGACTTGAACGCGTCTCTGCTTTTATCTCTATGGCCACACACCTGGGTTTGTCGCGGGCTGGCCATCTGGCGATGAGCTCATGATCTGACTTTTTTAATACGACTTGAGAACCAGAAAAGGCAGAGACCCGACACCCACAGGCCCCCTTTGTAGCATAGTGCAAACTGTGTTATCACGTCCTGGTTAATCTACCCCCTTCCTCATCTCTCACCCACGACTGACTTGCCGGCGCTGCAGACACTATGTCTTCCTCTCAGTTTTTTCCGAGTTGTCAAACACTTCAACCACTCTCCCGCGCATAGAGCTGCTTTGCTGCCTCCTTTGTTTGTCGCCTTTATGGAATGGTGCAAATTCCAAATAGACCAAGAACAATAAACAGCAGCTGCGCCGTGCGAATATAAACTAAAGCTCCCGCCATGCCATCACTCCACCCCTCAACCCGTCCCTTTTCCCACCTCTATCGCCAATCATCTCACTTGCCCGCGAGGTGCGGAGTTCCGCTAATAGCGGGCGAGAGAGAGAGAGAGAGAGAGGAGACGATGAAATGCATGAGGCGCATTCAGGCACGGCGGGTGCCTTGGGCACACTAAACATTGCGTTGATTATTTCCCGGATATGAGCCGTCGACACTCCGCAACAACCACCCCGCCACGCCTCCCCGGGGGTCTAATACTTAATCCTGCTTTGGAACGAATGAGAGAACAAATGGGATTTAAAACGGAATGGACAAAACAAATAATGCGTTCGCATTCATTCATTCCTCTCCTCGCCTTCTATCCTCCTCATGTGCTCGTTCGTCCTGTCGCAGGTCCCTGTGCGCGGCCGGCTGCAGCGTGGACGCGCGCCGGGTCAACGGCCAGTCGGCGCTGATGCTGTGCGTGGTGTCGCGCGCGTCGCGCCGCAGCCCGCGCCTCCTCATGCAGCTGCTCGAGGCCCTGCTCGCGGCCGGCGCCGACCCCTGCGTCCGCGAGAAGCTGCGCGGCCAGACGGCGCTGCACGCCCTCGCCAAGCTGGTGGCCGCCGACCCCGCCGAGCCGCACCTGCTCACCGCCCTCCGCCTGCTCGCCCAGCGCGCCCAGCCGCACGGCGTCAACGCGCAGGACCACCGGCGGCGCACCGCGCTGCACCACCTCGCCAGCAGGGCCTGCGCCCGCCCTGAGCCGTACGAGGTGAGCACCTTTCGCATCAGGGCGCGCCTGGTGTTGCCCTAAGGTGTTTACATTACACCTTAGGGTGCCCGGCTGCCCGGCCGCAACGCACGCGCGTCTGACGGGCCGGCCTGCGCTCACGGCGCTCCGCCCCGCCCCCGTCACTCTCACTCTCACGGCCGCGTGGCGACTCCCGTCGGCGGCGGCCGCAGCTCAGCGCACACGCCCCGCCCGCCCGCGGTGAGTGGGCGAGGCCCCATGCCCGATTTGAAATTCAATCCCACCTCCCCCAAACCTTTTGCAACTTCCACTTTGGGCCTGGGGCACAGCACAGATAGGGCACGACAGCGACCCAAAGAGCTCTTTGCAGCGACCCCCCGGCCCCCGGCGGCCACGTGGCCTTGAGGCCCCGCTGGTGGTGGCGGGCGCGGATCCAAGCGACCCGTGTTCCCACTGAAGAAGCCTATCGAAATGACGCCTATAAGACAGTCGGGAATGACGTCGTTTCATTGTCCCGTTTGGGTTCATCCAGAAAGAGCGTCCCCCATTTGCCGTTTAGGAACCTGCCAAATTTGGCCCCTGTAAGTTAGTTCTCAACAAGACGCCTGATGGGTAGGCAACATCTCGCCTACGTTGCACGCGTGTACCGCGGGGTGGCCTACCCCGAGTCTCGCAGGAGCCCGGCTCCCGTCGTAATTTACCCAATATGAATCTGATTTAAAACGAACACGTAGTTTCTGGACGATCCCTCGCTTTAGTTTTTCGCACTAGGAAACGAAACGTAAAGGCCGCCCTCCTCCGCCAGCGGGCTGACACGTCGGCTGGGCTGAGGCCTCGGCTGATACGCGATGGCTGACGCCGAGCAGAAGGCTGCTTGGTGTGCTCCTCTCCACGCGGTCGCACTGCAACACCGCGCCGCGCGCCGCACCGCAAGACCGCAACATTAATAGCCCCGCCGAGCGCCTGAGCTTCCGGTCTTCCCTGCGCGCCCTTTCTCTGCCTCCCCCCCTGCCCCCCGCGCCGAATCATTCACCTTTGCACAATGCACAATATCGGCCACTGTCACTGCTTTTGGGCTAGCTGGACTATGCTCATCTCCCATGTGCAAACTCGGGTCTATGCAACGGCGCGGCAGACGCAAGGTGGTCCTTCCCCACCACTCTCCCCCCAAAGTCGTAACGACACTACTACTTGGTTTCGCGTGGTCTAGTGAGTCGCGCGATCCACGCAGCATCGCATCGTCATGTTTGTTTGTGTGCATCGGACAGTGACTCAGCTCTCATCTTCGGAGCCCCGCGCGACCGGGGACTTGCTACTGCTGCCGTGAGGCCGGCTGGGTTCCAGAGCTGGAGCCGCCGTGCCGTGGGATCGCGTGCTCGGTTCACGCCCACGACCTCTGTGTATCTCCCACCGTGTCCCCATTCATATTTTTTCTTTTCCAAATCAAAATTCGTATGTGTTTTGTTAAAAGCCAAATGGCTTCCTGGTGTGGCCGATTACGCAGTCGAGTCGCATACTCTAATTCGGCCTTCCGATGTCCGGAGACATCTCAAACCGAGGGGAACTGCACTGTTCTGTAAAACGCACACGATAAAAACTACGTCCTGGTTTTCATGACGTTTTGGGAGAAACCATGACCTCTTATGGAAGAAATGCATGAGAAACGTCATGGTTTTCAAAACGTTATGAAAACCAGGACGTCATTATTACTGTGTAACCTACTTTTCTTGATTTTCGTTGTTTTTCGATGATTTGGCTACCTATTTTCTTTTTTAATTTTTGGGAGCGGTTGTGCACTTTTTTAAAAGTGAGGTGCCTCTCGCTCCACCCTTTGCTAATTGTGCGCTCGTCCCGGCGGTCACCACCAGCGCGCCCTGCTGCCATACGCCCTGCGGGAGGCGCGGCTGTGCGCGGCGGCGGGGCGCCGTGGCGTGCCGCGTGGCGGCGCGGGGGCCAAGGCCGCGGGGACATGAACGCTCACCAGACCAGACTTGCTGCTGAATAATGCTGACGAGCCTGCAAAGCGAGTCGGAGAAACCATGCTTTTTTATCCCGCCTAATCACTATACGATTTAAGAATTATTTCGCTCAAAAAACTTCGTTCGGTGGCAGTGGCAGGCCCATCCCACCGATGCTACCAGACCGCACAGGGTCGGCGAAATGATGTTTAAAAATCAGTTCGTCTATCCGCCATTTAAGCCCTACTGACGCCTTTCCCTCCCCTTCCAGATCCTGCTGGAGGCGCGCGCGGACCCGGCGCTGCAGAACGCCCGCGGCGACACGCCGCTCGTCGAGTTCCTGGAGAACGCGCCGGAGCGGGCCGAGCACGGCGAGGAGGTGGTGCGGCTGCTGTGCGGCGCGGGCGTGGCGCGGCGCAACACCCAGTACGGCGAGTCGCTGCTGCACGTGGCCGCGCGCAGGAACAGACTCGCCGCCGTGCGGGCCGCGCTGGAGGCGGGCGCCGACCCCGCGCACCAGGACCTGCGCGGCAACACGGCGCTGCACCTCGCCGCCAGCCGCGGCTACAAGGTGAGGCGCTGCACCGGCATCCGGCAGACGAGAACCCTCTTCAGGGGGGCTTTTATCTCTGTTGGCAACCCTATCGGCTCGGCTCGCAGGGTCTTCTCAAGACCAGCTGACCATGACGTTACGTCGCGTCCCGTTGCGAAATGATTATTTAACAAATTAGATGGATCACGCCGTGTGAATTTAATTAAAGATCGATCATTTGTGTTCTTCCGACTCCAGGATGTGGTGGCGGAACTCCTGGCCGTGCCGGGGTGCCCCCTGAACGCGACCAACCGAGACGGCCTCACCCCGCTTCACGTGGCCGTGGAGAGCGGCTTCGTCGACGTTGTCAACGTAAGAATAGAATCATGCAATATGCATCTGCTGAAGACTATCTCTTTTTCGAAAGAGAGTTATGCGTCGTCCTGCTGTCACTGTGCGGCGGGCGCGCAAGTTAGGTGGCAAGGGAGGGGGAGAGGGGGGCAAAGGTTGCCTCTCAGACAGGAGGTACCCGCGAAGGGAGACACACTTCTGCTTTTCCAAATATTTGCTCATATCCTTGCCCGAAGCCGTCGTACGTTGCGTGCTCTACCTAGACCCGATCCGAGTTTAAAACTAGGGCCACTGCGAATTTTCACAGACGCTGTTGGGCGCGGAGGGCGTGGACGTGGGCCCCAGCGTCCTGGAGCTGGCCCAGCAGGAGTACCGCCTGCGCGCGCAACCGCAGCTCGCCCGCACGCTGGCCTGCGAGCTGGACCGCCGCCTCAGCATGAGCCTGTCGCCCAGCATGGCGCCCAGCCCCGCCAGCACGCGGCCCCCGTCTACCTGCAGCCTGGCGAGCTGCGCCACCACGGCCTGTGAGTACCTCGCGTGGCACAGCGCCCGCAGATAGGCCGCCCATGTGACGCTCGTGCGCGCCTGGCTGACGGGGCTAAGGCGGAGACTAGGGGGCCTCCCCTCCCTCCACTGCTCCGTCGAGCGCATGTCCGCTTACGAAATGTACA